GGGGGGGGGGGGGGTGGACATGGAAGTGGCAAGGGTGGAAGGATGAAATTAAGTGGGCAATGAAGAAATGTTATTTCACTTAGCTTTTTGTGGATGTCAAATTGATCTTAGGGAGCACTTGTTAGAGGGTCTATAGAAAGCTAGGTGATCATATGGCATTTTCTTCTCCTTTATACATTCAAAATGATTTTGATAGTTTTTGAGATTTGAGTCAGAACTCATGAATCTCCCATTGTCTTTAAATGAAAACAGTGCACATTTCAGCTTATTTCCAAACAGTATGAAAAGCAGCTGAGAACAAACTTTCAGAAACCAATGTCATTTGCATTCAGCATACAGAGTGAGGACTAGGAAGTCTTATGCAGACATGAGGCTGCTGCTTGGCTGTAATGGAATATTTGAGTGTGAAGACTATAAATAGTGAGAGAACAATTTCATTATTAAAGACAACAAAAGGCTGCACACTTTGTAATTTTGTCCTAAGATTGTAAGCATGATTTCAAGTGCCTCACATAAAGACCGTGTCTGAATCTTTACTGCCATCTGCTGACAACCATTCTAACACTGTAGTATGTACTCTGGCTATACGTGTGTTACCTCCCAAGCCAGGACAGAAAAACAAAATATGGTATTACTAAGGGATCTGCCCAGCTGTCTGTTGGTCTCTTGGTGTATAGTCATAAAACCCTGATTAGTTTGGCATCTACCTGCTTGAAAGGTCCCTACTTGCAGTGGTAACTGGTGTATGCAGGGGAAAGAGGTGCAAGGAGATCCACCCTGAGAGGAAGGGAGGATGCATGCGTGGGGCACCCCTAGTTAGCAATTAAAATTTTGGCAGAAGATAGAGGGGCAGTGCATCTCCTGATTGCTACCACAAGTCACCTGTGCCCACTTGTGACAGGCTTTTATTTGGCTGTTTCAATGCATCCCTGGCTAGTAACAATGTGCAGCAGCAAGTCAAGGCATTTTGAAGTGAAAATGGTTGCAATGGTTTCAGCCAGAGTTTTGGCAAGAGGATCTGCTTCCACAGCACCAAGACACTTCAGGGCAACCATGGCATTTTGGGATAATGTCCAGTTTTGCTTCCAAGTGAATTGTCTTCACCGTGTAATGTTTTAAAGACATTCCACGTCTGATGAAAACACCAGCTGTCTCAGCTGGGTTTTAAATAGAGCGCTGAAATCCATTTGGCACTGGCTACAGCAATATGTTCTCCACCCTGGTAGGCATGGGATCATGAGGGATCTGTTATCAACATGCATAATCTACATATGGGTCATTTTCCTATCCTACACTGGGACTTAATAGCTTCTGATGCATCTAGTTTGGGCCCTGTCTCTTTCAGTTGTTTTTAGACACTCTCCAAATTCAAAAAGGTTGAGGAAACAAGACACCCCATATGTTTCCTTTACTACTGTCCAATGAAGCATCAGAATTTCTTCCAGCTTTAAAACTACAGCAAATGAGAATTTGGCTTATGAAGATGCCTGTGAATGTTCTTAGAGTCCATTCTTTTTTCATTCAGGATCTGTATATTTCCTTTTATTCTCTCAGGATTTTATCACATGGTTTTATCACATGGTCCCTTGTCATGGACACACACAAAACAAAAGTTAACAGCCAGGCATGAGATTCCTCTGGCAGAAAGGAAGAGACAGTAAGATTGTTAGTGTTGGATGAGGCAGATTTTAATTAACTTAAATTCATTCACTCTCTTCCATTGGCTCCAGCTTTCTTTGCAAACTGGGTCTGATCAATTGGTAGCCACAGAGATTGTCAGTGTCACTGATAAAATGTAAATAACAAATGTTCCTGCAGCACCGTAGAGACTAACAAAAATATAGATGGTATCATGAGCTTTCATGGGCACAACCCACTTCTTCAGATGAGTGGAGCAAGGGGTTCAGAGGTACAAATAGCAGAAGAGGGTCAATGAGGGAAGTGGGGGGAAGCTCTTGTCAATTAGTGTCCATGCTACATGAGGCTAATAGTGGGCTGCAAGTACTTGATGATTAATTTTTGATGTCATTTGGGTGCTGAATCTAATGGCCCATCCAGTTCATGTCTTTGTTCAAATCTTGGTTAAATGTGTCAAATTTGCATATAAAGGCAAGTTCCATAGTTTCTCTGTAGCTGGTTTCTGAAATGGCTTTGTAAGTGGACAGTCACTTTTAGATCCATTAAAGATCTTGCCCAGGCAAGTTAAAATGTTCCCGAACAGGTTTCTGTGTGTTACCATTTCAAATACCTGATTTGTGTCCATTAATCCTTTGTCATAGAGACCCTACAGTTTAACCAATATACATGGCAGAGGGGCATTGCTGGCACTTGATGGCGTACATCATACTAGTGGATATGCAGTGATATGAGTCTCTTATGTGGTTAGGTCCTGTCATGATGTCGCTGACAGCCATCCATATGTTATTTCAGAGGGAGGTGTAGACTCCAATTCTTGCCTCCAGAGGTATTGAGATGGTGATCAGATGCTTTCAATACTTCCTTAGTCCTGGCGTTGTCCTAGTTCATTGGGGTTAGGACAATTTGAGGACTTATCTAATGTGTGCCAATTGCCAGTAGGTGTTGGCAGTCTCCAAGATACAAGGACAAAGGAGCTACAACCTCTTACCCCACTCATGACCCCACAGGAGCCACTATGTCAGCTATATGCCACCCCAAAATCCTCTGATGGCTGCTATACTGGTATTAGGGCAGTCTTGATAGAGCTGTCCACAGCTGTTGATAAAGAGGATCCGAGCATACCATACTTTGTTCTGGACCAACCCAGGGGCAAAGTCGGGATGTCCCAACCTTAAAGTAATTCCACACTTTCCTATCCAGCATAGTGGTGGTGTTGGGGACTGAATTAGAATATGGATAGAACCCAATTGTGTTTCTATTTGTATTCACATTCATAGTCCCTCTAACTCCATATTCTGAAAACAAATGTTTATCTATCACCATTCCAAGTAATTGTTTTGTGTTTCCATTGGAACAAACTTGTTCTCTAGGGTCATTGTTTGTGCTGTCTTGTTTTTACTGGAAAAAAAAATTTAGATTCCTGACTTCAGAGGCAAAACTGAATCTAACATCTGCCCAAAATATTTAGTATTCAAAGGCATTTGCCCTCGTGCAGAGGACAAGAACTACATTTCTCTAAGTTCTATTAGTTCCTGTATTTTCACTACAGTGGATCTTATTCTAGTCAGGGGCATGTTCTTTTTTTAGTTTAAGTTTGGGCTCTTGCACCCCACTAATGTTTGTGTAATGAAAGAAGTATTTGAAAGGGGACATACAAATGGTAAAAAATATTATGCACACACACAGCCATATCTGATTGATTTTTTTTTTAATTTATATATAAAAATCAATCATACATACACATAGGCAGTCCCCGGGTTACATGGATCCGTACTTACAAATGGGGTGAGGCAACCCCGCACTAGCTGCTTCCCCGCAGCAGACCAGGGAGACGCGAAGCTAGCCCCCCTCCCCCCCAGCAGACCAGGGAGACGCGGAGCGGCTTTTCTCAGCAGACACCTCCACTTGAGAATAAAGGACTGAGGGAAGTGAGGTGTGGGAGAATAAAACTGAGCTCTGGAGAAATGTTTGGCTAGAGTTTCCCCTACAATATGTACCAGTTCCGACTTACATACAAATTCAACTTAAGAACAAACCTACAGTCCCTATCTTGTACGTAACCCAGGGACTGCCTGTATATATATGTGTGTGTGTATGTATGTGTGTGTGTGTGTGTGTGTGTGTGTGTCTCTCTCTCTCTCTCTCTCAGAGCTAAAGCAAATCCTAGTCCACTTTCTTCCATGGGATCATAATGTTATTCAATATGCAAATATACACAGAAGTATCAGAAAATACAAAAGTAAGGTTCTCAGCAACTTTCTCACCCACACTGCAGCTATATAATACTTTCCCTTACTGCTGATGAGGTGTAAGATGTAAGGATAATGGTTAGGGTGCCTTGATTATAATTTATGTGAGCTGGAAAACTATAATTATAACATTCTCAACAGGATATTTCATTTTCTTCCTCCATATTCTTTTGAAAACTTCTAGCCAACCATATCGCTACTGGCAACTAGCATTAATAGTAGCCCTTCAAATGCATCTATTGTGCATAGAAAATTACTGCAATAGTGTACCTATAATCTGTGCTTCCATACAACCCTCCCCCCAATCCCAATGTTCTGAAAAGGTTTTCCTCATCCATTTTCCATGTTTAAATTAAAAAGACCTTTTAATTGTGTCAAATTATTTGTGGGGGGGGGGGGGGGGGGGGCTTGTGGGGGGGGGGGGGGGGGGAGGGGGGAACCTTGCATGTAATCCGACCACCATATTCAGGCTGACAAATTCTGAATTACTTATCAATTGAAGAAGCTTTTACTTTGTTTCATATGTTTCTCAGGTAATATTAAAACTCCTTTGTTTCAGAAATGAATATTTTAATTATGAAGACGTGGCATCTGGGAATTGGAGAATTTGTACAAGATGTAATGTACTTGGATATTTAAAATAAGTAAAGAATCTCTACATATAACCGATGTATAAACTCCTTTTTGGGAGCAAGTAGGGAGAGGGGAAGAGAAGTGAGTGGTAAAATGGCCCTGATTTACAAAGGCATTTAGGTACCTAAAGAGACAAATTAATGTGTGGTGGAATTCACAAAAGTACGTAATCTGATTAGGTGCCAAATTCTCTTTGAAAAACACCAAATACCTCTGTAAATCTGGCCTTCAATGTGAGCATCACTTGTTTAGTTTCAAGTACTACGTGCTTTAGAAAGAAATAAAGGAAACAAATTTTGTAATTATGGATTCCAACACAGCTGACTTGATGGCATAGTTGGCATAAAAGACTATTAGAAGTTGGCAGGCTTCTCATGTAGGATGCAAAGTTTTTTTTTGTTGTTGTTTGTTCTTTTCTAAACTGGTTTGAGCAGAAGAGTAATCTTTGTGCCACAAACTCTCCAAACTTTGAAACATAAAGATGTTTTAGATTTTATTAGGAAATGATGGTTGATTTTACAATGACAAAAATATAGCGCTTCCAAAATTAAACTTGAAATATGTTTTAGAAATCAAACTTAAGATTATAGCTTGGATCTCCATAGTATTAAACTTGTTCTGCTTAGCAGTCAAAACAGCCTTTCAACCAGATGTGCAACTAAGTCAGCTCCTGCCTGAAATCAACCTGTGATCCTCCTTGCTTTATATGTCATCTCAGCAGTAAAGATTCAAAGAGCAAAACATTAGTTTAGTCAGAGATACAGTTTAGTTTTCTGCAGCTAACTAGCTTCATGGCCCTAACTTTGGTAAACCTCTATACTGATTAAGGCAAACATAACTCAAAATTGCCAAAGCCACATTTCCAAAACCTCCAATTCTGTTAGGACAACTCGTGCACACCTTACATATGTGTCACCATTACACTACATGCTGTCCAACCTTTCATGCAACCCACTTCTGTGATGTGGGGAAAGAGGAGGGAAGAATCTCAGCTGTATTAAGTTTGCTGTCTGTAATATAGAAATTTGGCAGGCTTAACATTGACTCAATCCCCCATGTGTTTTCAGCATCAGAAGCCCAGGAGAGTGCTTGTCGTGCTCTGGCTTGACTGAGACAGTTCATGGACTCCAGCCAAAGGGGTGTTGAATGTTAGAGAGGAAACAGTTGAAGAATCATCAGGGCTGGGTGTCCTAACTCTTCCACAGAGAAAAGAGAAAGCCATGATGCTGATGGAATAATGTTGCTTGTTAGGAGGGATAAGATTTAAGCTTTGTTTCTGTTTCTTCAGAGGAAATAAGAGGTGATGTTCAAGAGTTCCTTAAGTCAAAGCATCTAGTTTATACAGGTGGAACCTCTCTGGTCCAGAAGGACAATGAATGTTGCTGGACTAGAGAGCCCCAGCACAGAGGTTGCTAGTGGCTGGGAGCAGAGCTGAGGGGGTACCAGAACCCTTGCAGCTGGCTGGGATGGGAAGCCCATGGTGGGAGAGGGGAGAACAGAGCACACAGCTGGTGAGCCCACCCGAGCATGCAGGTGGGCTGCTGGGCTCACAACTGTGGGGCCAGGAAAGGGGTGGGGCTGCAGAGCTCACAGCTGGTGGGCCATGAATGTCTACAGAGCCACCGGCAGGGCTGACAGGGCCCCAAATGCCTGCAGGGCTGCCTTTGGAGCTCCTGGGGCTGCCACATGCAGAGGGCTGGAGCAACAGTGGCAGGTAGCTAGGGAGAAGAGCCCAAAGGAGAGGCTGGCACCCCCACCCAACCTTCCCTGATCCAGAAAACTCTTGTTCAGGAGATTCAACTGTATTCTAAATCGGGATTCATCTTCCAGTTTTTTACATACATAAACAGGTCTTTATTTTGGTTTGTTAGGTGTGTCACTGTGAAGATTTTTCTAAAAGAATGTAAATACTGCACAAGCTACACATGGTTTATTCTGTAATGCCTCTTTTTCCATATTAAAGACAATATGGTATCCCAAATTTGGCAGTTTAATTCCCTGGGGAAAAAATTTCTCCATTCCCACTTTGTTAAAGGAGTTATTCAGCATCTCTATTTTCACTATGACAGAGTGACTAGTACTGATACTTCTCTGATGCTACTTTGACTGCCAGTATCCTACAATATATTCTACAGTTTGCAGAATCTGGATCTTATTTAGTGACTTTGCTATTGTAGGTATCATGGAAAGTGCATTTAAATTACTGATTAAATTACAGATTACTAGCATAAAATTATATCTGCGATATTAGCAACAGAAAGTAAATGTGCCTTAAATAGCAGTATATTAGACTTTCTACCTGACCAGATTTGACACTAAGAACTGGCAATGCAGTTGACAAATAAAATCTTGCAAAAGTCTTTGAAAACATGCAGCATCCTATAGTAATTTTTCTAATCATAAGCATAAAAAGATATATTGGAAGGTAAAAGAAAAACCTTTAATGCCAAATCTCTAAAAATTGTAAAATACAATTTATACAATTTTTTTAAATTTCATGTCTTGGTATTATGCTGTTTGAGGTATGCTATATGGCAAGAATGTTTACAGATTTATACACAGCCGCCCTCATCTCAAATGAAATCTTAAATAATTTTTAAAATTTACTTACACACAATTGCCTTCTCATAGCCCATTTGTATTTCTTCTCTTCTACATGCTGAGGTCTCATAGTTGTGGACTTCTTTGGCTGCCAAATACTGGTATTCTGTGAACTAGATACTTCTAATGGGCACAATACTTCCATATCAGCAATACAAGTTGGAAGGGCTAACATGGGAGGGAATATTATTGAATCTGTATAATTACTTAAGAGCCTATGCAATAAGAAGGGTTACAATCCATCTAAGTCAGTAGGTTCTTATGCTTTTATTTTTTTAACCAAGAAGAATGCTGTGAATTCATTGTACTAGAATTTCTATAATTAAACTGCAAGTCAAGAAAAACTGTCCAGTCGTCTGTTTCTGCTGGGATGGATTTCCAAAAATAGTATTCAAAAATGTATAGCTATGATATCATCCTCTGGAGGAAAGGTAAGAGGTGATGGAATATGAGAAGTGAGGTTGCAGTTAAACAGGTACTGACTGGGACAAAAGTTTGTCATATATTTTATACTCTCCTGAGTGTGGGAAGAGTCTCCTCGATAAAATAAATAGATGTATTAAGGTTTTTTTTGTGGGGGTCAATGGCTGGCTGTACATTAGATATCCTGCAAGCAATATAAGTATCTGTAAACATGGGGTAAAATATTTGTGATTGGGTGCTTCAGATGGGCTAGCATCACCTTTTTTTTCCCCGCAAGTGTCTATAAGTTACTTAGTGAGGACAGAAGGTCTAGGAATTTCTGATATATTCATTATGGTAATTACAGTAGGTTCAATCATACAAATGTTGGGTGGATGAGGGGAAACAAGGAGAAAAGCTCATCTGGCAATGTCTAATCTGTATTTTTTAAAGAGTAAATCAAGATCGTGATCTTTTCAAAGAAGTTTGACTTACAGCACACAGTTTTTTGGACTAGAGTAAAAAACAAAACTATTTAAACTTTAAGTGCAAATGGTGCAAATAGAATCTTTTGTTGCACACAGAACTTTTAAAAATTCATCTTAATCACCTCAGAGTGAGAGTTAATGAAAATGTAGTAAATAAGATTGTCCAAGTAGACAGTTAAATGTTCATTATGAAATAGTCAAAATTCAGCAGGCACTTAATATGCACTATGAATTAGTTCCAAATTTCATGATGAAGATCTTCAAGTGTATCTGGGGAGGAGGGGGGAGAGAAGGGTCTGACAGTGGTCAAAGCAAGTTAAAAGGTGTGCCCCACAAATTCATCTGAGGCAAAGATAAATTTGAACACTTTTACTATGAAAGAAGCTGAAAATTCTGTATAGGATACTTCTGTGGTATAACACAAATGTATCTGAGTTAAACACTGAATTCTGAAAACCTAATATAGGGAGAGAGGAATAAAAAAACCAAACAAAGCTCTTCAAAACTTCTGTCACCTCAATTGGTAAGCTGCAGCAATATACTATAACAAAGATGACTGATTCTATAAATCTATTTTATTTCTGGCTGTTTGTTTGACTCACTATAAAATAAAAACCCCTAACTAAACTTCCATCATGAGGTAAGATTATTTTTCCTTCTCGTTGATGTCAGACAATTCCTCAGTGTTCAGGAAGGTACAGTGCATTCTGCTGTGTGAAAACCCAAGTTTGGCTGACTTGATTGCACACTTGTCCACAGGTTGAATGCAACATGTATGTTGCATGTGTAGGAAGAAACGGGATGCAGAGGGTGGATGAAAACCAGCTAGCCACCACTATTATCTAAGCCCTTGATTAGGAGTATATCAGAAAATAGAACAGGCACAGCCTGTTCCCAAATTCTTAGAATCCTTCCACAGCAAACAGAAAAACTCCCTCTCCAAAGGTGTCCATGAATTCAAACTAAAGTTTCTGTTTTTCCTATCATGAAATTAGTCTAACTTTTATTTTCATCATGGTGCCTTCTGTTTTTCACAGCTTCGGTACAGTCTGAATTGTATCCTCTTCAATATTAGAGTTCATCCTGGTAATAATAAAATAAAAATTACAATCCAAAACACTGATCCTCCATTATTTTTCTTTACAATTTGATTCTTACACTAGCTCTTCAACACTGTAACTTGGCTGGATAAACATTTAGCAAACTCTTCCAGCCTCAGGGTAAGCCTAACTTTCAATGTAAGCACAGGACTCAAACTCAGGCTCAAGCTTAGTTCCCACTTCCTCCTACAAACAATTCACATTTACTTATGGTCCCAGAACTCCATGGGATGGAGGGTCTGTTCCTGAGTCATGTCGGAATCCAGTGTTCAAATTCTATCACTCTGCAGTGTAGACACAGCCCCGCTGGACTCATGCTATTGGAAACTGCCAAAATTTCCCAGAATACCATGGGCCAACATTCCTTGTCCTCTGGACAGTCAAGTCCTCACTGCACCACTAGCAAAGGGCTAGAGAAGCCACATTTTGGTTAGGTGTTGGGAAGGCACTAGGAAGTCTGGGATATGGGTGGCTGGACTCAGGTCCATAAAATGCAGCATAAATACTAATGAAGGGTTATAAATGAGTGTATCCCTCAGTTTATCAACCCAGGATTTGCTAAGTCTAGTTACACAAAATGAGAGTTTATATTGCATTAAACTTTGACAGGAATGGTGCAAAAAAGGGCCTCCAGGAGGGCACTGTAACTGGTTCTGACACAACAACATTGCACTTAGCTGTGCTTACCCACAAAGCAGAAATGCTGGCTCAGTAAAAATGGTAACTAGTAAGTATGTCAACATGTAGATGACTGCATGATTAATCTATAAGCCTGGGCTTAATAGTTAATCTTAACAACTGCACACACTCCCCTCCTGTCAATGCCTCTGTATCAGAGATAACAAGAGGTGAGGAAGCAGGAGCCAGTGCCCACGAGAAGCTGGCTTAAAAGCAAGATCTCTATGAGCACCAGATCCACCTGCCCCTCCCCATGCTGCTGCCTCTAATAGTGGTAGCAGTGCGGAGGGTGAAGGGTGTAGGTGGGAGCCTGTTTTCAAGAAGGCTCCCCATGAGTGTTGACTAGAGAGGCAGTGGGGGGAGGGGCAGGCAGGAGCTGTGGGAGCCAGTGCCCACGAGAAGCTGGCTTAAAAGCAAGATCTCTATGAGCACCAGATCCACCTGCCCCTCCCCATGCTGCTGCCTCTAATAGTGGTAGCAGTGCGGAGGGTGAAGGGTGTAGGTGGGAGCCTGTTTTCAAGAAGGCTCCCCATGAGTGTTGACTAGAGAGGCAGTGGGGGGAGGGGCAGGCAGGAGCTGTGGGAAGCACTCTTCTGGCTCCCTGCCAGTAAATTTTTTATCAGGTTAGCCAGCAGCCTGGCTCACGCTGGGTCTGGGACCTATTCCTACGGCAACTCTGCATTTAAAGTGTATTAGGAACTGGGAGGGCAGTTAGCCCAGCTCAGACACCAGGTCCAGGAGCTCAGACTGTCTGTGGACAGGGACTGCTGCCACTCTGTGCTGCTGCCTCTGTATTAAGAGGCAGCAGCTCAGGGCAGCAGGCAGGAGCCAGTCTGCGTGGGAAGCCGGTTTTTAAATTGGGTCCCGCCTTCCACCCTGCGTTGCTGCTTCTGATAGACACACAACAGTGCGGGATGGCAGGGGGTTCGCTGGGAGTGGGAGCACATTAGCTGCTGGGACTATTGAATAGTCATGTAACCACTATTTCATGAGGTTACACGATTATTCATTACACTGTCTAACATCCCTAGTAACTAGCCCAAGATTGCATATAAAAAAATACAACATTTTATAGACAAAAGATGACAGGCTACCAAGATTCTTGAAACAGCTGTTCTTTACACTAAAATGTCTTCACAAAAGACAAAGCCCACATTTCATACCTTGTTTCTAGGAGATTTTTTTCTCTTTCCTTTATTTTGAATAACTGCTAATCTTTCAGTCAGAAGATCAGCTATGCTCTTTGCATCTCTGCTGTCTATATGCTCTCCAAGAACATTTTTCTTTGAAAACAAGGAGGGGGGAGGGAAAAGTACATTATTTTTTTCTGCTAAAAATGTCAATTTGTCAAAAGCATGATATTTTGTGGAAATGTCAGTTTTGACTGAAGTTAATTTGGAAAGAAAACAAATATGTAATCTCAAAACCTCTGTTTTGACCCAGCGTTGCTTCACTTTTTTATAATACAAAATCAAAACCAAACTTTTGGATGAAATGTTCTGTTTCATCGAAGCAAAGCATTTCAACTGGACCAAAAATACTTTACATTTTATTTTACAGGATATTTTAAAATTTACTGCTTTCATTCCATTTAGGAGTGGGAAACTTGTGTAATTTCTCACTAAATGAAAAATGGAGTACCCAGTTAGCTGTAAAATTATTTTTTTCATTGTTAAGTTGTCTAGATAGCAGCTTCCTTTCCTTCATCATTAGCTACAAGGACTATTTCTCAGTTCATTACATTTTTCCTGCTATGGTAATTCCAAGTATCTTTAAAAAGACACCAATATTTTTTAGTGTTTCATTTCCTTTAGAAAGATTAGGTTAGGGGAAAAAGCTGATAGAATCAGAAATAAAAAACTTGAACATTTAATTTCTAGTATAAAATTAAGCACTATCCAATCTTAAATAATAGTGGATCTAGACCAGTTAAGCTGCAGAACCTCCCCTCATTGGTTCACACAATTTAAACTAATATTTTACCTTTGCTCCTTCGTAGGGATAAAATTTAACTGTAGGGTAGGCTCTGATGCCAGCTGTCTGACAAGTATGACCATAAGCTTGACAGTCAACTTTTCCAGCTTTTATTTTTCCTTTAATAGTCTGAAAAAGAAAATTGCTTATTTTAATGGGATTTTTTGTAAACAAACTTCAAGATGTCCACGTGACAAATTGGCACTGTAGGAAAACACACAACAGAAGGATGGTATAGAATACACCAAGTATAGATAAAAGGGTAACATTTTTAAAAAACTGTCTGAAGTCCTAGTTTTAAAGCTAATGCAGGTGCTCTGAAGAATAAATCTTGTTGATTTTCATTGAGACTTGGGCTATGTTTACATTGCAATTTGGGTGTAATATGCAGCTTATGTAGCTGTACCAGTGTGAGCTTTAATCTACCCAAAATGCTAAAAATGTCAATGAGAATATGGTGGTGTAGGTTTCAGCATGGGCAGAACAAGGGGGTGAGGTGCGATTTGAATGATTTGAACACTCTTAATAAATGGAGTGAAAATAGAAAAGCAAAATTTTTACTCAGATTCAAAGAAAAACTGTAAACAAACAGGGACTTGAATGACACCTATCAAACTGAAAGATCTAGGATAAGAGCTACAAGCACAGACAAACATTCATAAAAGCAGCTTTGAGTACCCCCTACTAAACCTCAATGCAAGGACATGGGTGCCAGGGATATGGAAGAGATGTGTCCATGGTGGCACCACAGTAAATAGTTCTGTGGCACATAGGGCAGCCCCAGAGACTACTGTAAATAAGACATACCCCCAAGAACTGTTCGAGTTCTGCTAGAGTCACTGCATCTTCTACAACATTCCTGAATCAGGAGGGTGCAAAAGTAGCTTAAAGCTACGTTAGCCTTCTCTTTCCTTGGTCTGCACATTCTGTGCTGCTCCTTTTGAAAGGCATAGTACTGAATTTCATCCCTGCAAACCTCCCAATTTGTGTGTTGTCTTTGGAGCTCAGTTAGGCATTGTGGGCACCAGTTTGTCTCCCTATGAATACATAACTACTGGGACATCTTTCTTATATGCCAAAGAAAGGCAAGAGCACGGTTTTTCTCTGTTCTGCAATAATTGGTTCTGACCTTGAACAGGTCCCGGAAGCTGCCTATGCCACACATCCTTATATGTAAAATAAGATACTTGCCCACCTTGCAGAGGTAATGAAGATACATTCGGTATTGTGTAACACACATACCTATAAATAAAAACTTAAAAATTTAAAGAAATGATGTGATTTTTCTAAGTTTAGAGAAGAACTTCTCTCCAATCACATATGCAAGTACCTAATGGTACTGAGGAAATGAAGGGAAATAAAAAGCTTTCCCACATAATGAATTACTATGTGGCAGTAGGTAGTGTAGATTCACACCCTGGTTTGCTGCTTGGTATCTCGCTGTGCAGAAATGCCATAAGATTTATAGTTTTAAAATATACATGCTGCTGCATGATTTAAAATTTATAACTGCCACAGTAAGTCTACTGATAAGCATTATAAAGAAGTAGGTATTATTACTATTCATCAGAAGAAAACTAACTGGTGGTGTTAATAAGTTAAAAACTTACCCTAGCTAGCATCTCAAATTCTGGAGCAAAATTTTGGCAAGGGCCACACCAAGGAGCGTAAAAATCAATGACCCAATGATCTTTCCCATGCAAAACTTTTTCTGTGAAACTCTGGGGTGTCAGATCTTCTGAAACTTGAGGTAAATATCTGTGGAGAGGGGAAAATATTTATTAAAACCTTTACATATTTAAATTCCAGTTACACTAGAATCTTCCAGAAAATAGGGAACTGCTATAATGAAATGTAAATAAATGAAATGTAAATAATACAATTATGTTGAAAGCAGTATTTTCTTCAAGTCCAAGTCGAATCTCAAATTACTACAGTTCAAGTCTCAAGTCACGTCTTGAGTCCCTAAAGTCACTTTCGAGTCAAATCCCAAGTCGAGTCTCAAGTCTTAATTTAAAAAATTAACGTCAAGTTACTTTTGGACAAGCCATCAATATCAGCATTTTTGGACAATTTTTTCACCAAGTCAATTTAACAAAATTAGCAAGTTTCAAATCGAGTCCCAAGTCAAACAATGAACCCGAGTTGAATCACCTAGGCGACTTTAGTTGGACTCGAGTTCAAGTTGTAGGACTCGAGTCAACAACTCTGGTTGAAAAACCCTTTAGTTTACACGAGATATAGACATCTAAGCATTATCTCATTATTCTCAAACCAAAAACTTAGGATAGTGTGTAATCTGAGCATGAGGAAGGGGTGGAGCAAAAAACTGTCCATTCAATTTGAATGGTCTTATCTGCTAAATGGAAGTATCATCTTTTTTCCTTCAGAAGACTTGAACCTGGTACTTAGTTTGAATCTATAAAGTGAAAGACCTGTGTTCTGAGGCTACAATAATGTACAGCCTCAGATGTGGCTTCAGAAAAGTGACACAGCCTTCACTGTCGGAGGAAGCTAAGAATACCTTCTCTAAGCAATGTTATTAAGGCCTATGCCAGGCATGTCCAAAGTCTGGCCCGAGGGCCAATTGCGGCCTGTGTTCCGGTTTAATACGGCCCCACAGGTAATTTGGCAATATCGACGGGTAATTTGGCAATATCTATCTTTTATGGCCCCCAACGAATCCATATGTATTGAGATGAATACATTGTAAAATCTCAGTTAAAGTCAGTTGGTCTAAATCAGTTATAAATATATTTGGACACAACATGTATACTTGGTGTTATGTTCCTGTTCATATTTTTTGAACTTAAAAGTTGACAGACAACCTTTATTACCAATAATATGTAATGTACTTTACAATGTTCCTGACATATATTTCAGCTTCCTGGATTTTTTTTCATCTGGCCTTCAGATATGAAAGGCAGAGTGATTTAACACCTGTTTAGATTTGTCATCCATGTGACGAAATGAAAAGTATGCTGTTTGCAATAAACTTTGCATAAAATAGTTAATTTGCATTTAATTTTAATGGTTCAAAGAATGTCAGGCAAAATGGTCGGCCCTCACGCATGTTCACTTCATCAAATCTGGCCCTCTTTGAAAAAAGTTTGGACACCCCTGGCCTATGCCAACATAGTATAGAAATTACTGAATCTGACTTGTGAAGCAACATATCAATCTATCTAGGCACATCTAATGCTGTTTCTAGGTGCCAGCTTCTCCTAGACACAACCATTGGCTTGTGAACAAATTTCGATATAGTAACTCACCCAAGTGCCCAGCTTCTTAATGAATATGAATCCCTGCGCCAGCCATTGTAACTACTATGAGAAAATACACAAGAAAATACTAATTACACAATAGCTTGAATAGGTTTGAAAGACTATGTAGTGGTGTTAAATATGAACAAGATAATTTATTCACAAGATAATTTATTCACAAAGGTTAATATGCAATTCATTTGAATTCATAAGTTCTAGAATATATTTATACTATAGTTTACATAGCAAAAAAGCTATTTTCAAATCTGAGTAATAAAAGTCAATGATACACATTGTAAAGAACTGGAACATAAAGAGAAGATCAATCCTATGTTATGTTAAATTAAAAGAAGAATAAGGTAAATTTAGTACGTCAGTCAAATTGACCTTTTGTCAGGTAAAAATGCCAGTGAACATTATGTCTCTGGTAATATTTCCAGATAAATTTGCTAAATCTAATACAGGTGGGACAAGAAAATAGCACATGCTCAAGTGGAAAACACAATTCAGTAAAAATCCCAATTGTAACCTGTCTTACAGAGAACATTTGATTATTACAATAGAAATATTTACAATTAATTTGTTTTCATTCTATTAGCTTCTGTATTTGTCTCCATTAGCCAATGAAAACAAGCTACTTAGTGTATTATTTGAACGGCAAGTCCTGTAGGGGATTGTTTAAAAAACCATCCTTCACTGGAATTTTTCACAGAAATTAGTGAAACTAATAATCATGGGCTGTGTGCGGGTTTTACACACAAATATAAATTAATAGTCCAGTCTAACTCAATTCTTAATGACATTTATTTCCGGGGCACTATTTATCCCCAGAGTATATTTTAACACATTTCTTAATTACAAAATCATGCTTTCTGCAAAATTTGACGTTATTAAAGGTAACTTTTTCTCTTCCCAAAAAGGAAAACAAAATATCTTTTTTGGTTGAATTTCAGTGTTTGGGGAGAGATTTATATAAAAGGAATAAAAATCAACTTGCATCCCAGATAGTAAATTATGTAGACTGTATTAAGGAGTGCCATATATGCTCATGAAGCTTTGACTGTTGGACTATCGATGAGCATTTGATGAAACACTTCAGTTATACAAATAATTAGCCTTTCCCAATTCAGTTTACTCTTTCTTCAATAGTCTATTTGGCTGCTGAGGTATCGGGTAGGGTCAGAAATGTAAGTATTTGATGTTACAAAGCTATCAGAGAATAGGAGCATTATTACAATTTTTTTTAAAATGGCCAGATTTCACTTTCTGTAGCAGTAGTTCTCCCCCACCCCCACTCAAACATTTTTCTGTCATTGTCCCAAAGAAATGGTATGGTGAAAGAGCTCATGGGATGTGTGAGGTACCACTAATGTATGCACAGTGAGTCAGAACTATTGATGTCTTTTTTTTTTTTTTTTTTTTTTTTTTTTTTGCAGAAGACACACACCCCGGATAATTTAAGAGTCTAGGGCACTGTTCTGTCTTAACTACCTATTTAGCCATTGACTTGGTAAAGAACAAGTTGTTCGAAGTTATATAATTCATGTTTGTTATTAATAAATATGCTGCTATGAAAACTTCCCGTTACCTTGGTAATAAAACAAAGGAATCCTAAACATTAAAAAAATTAAATTAATTTATTGTATTATTTTCACGTTACAGAACTGAAAATCTCAATGCGTGAGAATAAAATCATTCATATCATACTCAAAGACTTATGAGTTTCCCATAGCTTTGACTTACCATTTGAAAGATACTATTTTCCCTCCCTAACTCCTCCTTAATACAGTCTGAAGATAGTATAAACACACCATGCTATATTTTTCAACTTTAGGCAGTTATTTACTTACTAGTAATGATGACCTGTATTTGATTTTTGAGGGAAGAGTCTTATTTCAGGATATCCCTGTATATTTTCTTGATGACAGAAAGAAAAATATTTTTGACAGTCCATGCTGCCAACAGTGATTAATCCATTTAACAACTGAAAAAGAAACAAATATTGCATTTCCTAGTCAGTAAAATCACTCTGGGATCACACTGAAGTTAGGTCATGGCATATGAATCTCTTTCCAAGATGCATACTTCAGAATTTGGACATCAACATTTATTGCAGTCCTCATCTCTTGAGTTCTCAAGTAAGCAAAATGGAAAAGGCTGATAATTTTTTTCTTCCTTTCTTTTGTTTGTTGTGGTAATTGAGTCTATGCATGCAATAGAACCCTTATTTTACAAAAAACCTGGAGATTGAGACATTCATAATAATCAGAACATCAAATTTTATGAACATCTCAATTAGTGACTAAGTTGCTGCATGGTGCACTACATTACTTTCTTTTTGTCTCTCTAAGCATTGCAATGCGATTTCTAATGCACTGAAGGCATTGGCGTGTGAATGGGTTGTTAACTTAACATCACTTTGGTTTGGAAAAAGGGTTCGTATAACTGCTAATCTGGTGTTTGATTTTCATCGAGGCTATGTCTAGACTGCGAGCCTCTTTCAAAAGAGGCTTTTTTGAAAGATACTTTCGAAAAAGCCTCTTTCGAAAAAGAGAGTTTAGACTGCTAGCGGTACTTTCGAAAAAGCAAGCCGCTTTTTCGAAAGAGCGCCCAGGCAGTCTGGACGCTCTTTCGAAAAAGCCCTGTTTGCATTCAAGAACGCCTTTTTTCAAAGAGCACTTTTGAAAAAAGGAGTTCTTCCTCATGAAATTAGGTTTTCTGCCGTCGAAAGAAAAGCCGCGTTCTTTTGATTTAATTTCGAAAGAACGCGGCTGTAGTCTAGACGCAGGAGAAGTTTTTTTCGAAAAAAGGCTACTTTTTTCGAAAAAACCCTCGAGTCTGGACACAGCCCAAGTCATACTCTACATGTCTAGAACCATGATTAGTCTATACACACTGCTAACTGGCACAGAAATCAAAGATTTGTAATACTATTATGCAAATGACTACATATAAAGGCCACGCAAAGTAAGCACAGATTTAAATTCTGAAGCATGTATAGTTCAGATCACTGAAAATCAGACTTAAAACATCTTAAATACTATTTAATAAAAAAAATTGAAAAGCCCTATAAGGAACATTTTAGTCCCTTTTCTTTAAAGATTAAAATTAATGTTTATATTATGTATATTTTGAAATTAGAACAAGATCTTGATTTGACCCTATAGGTGCTACTTTAACTACAAATAATTATAATAAATTATCCTCCTACCATTCCTTAGAATCATGAACTTTTACCATTTCAGACCACTTTCACTCATGCTGCCTTCTACTCTCAAATTCTCAACCAGTTCCTCCCTATTTGTTAAAATTAACTCTAGAACAACCAACTCCCAAGTAGCTTTTTCCACCTTCTGAAATAAAAAATTGTCTCCAATACATTCTAAGAACTTGCTGGATAATCTGTGCCCTGCTGCATTATTTTCCCCACAAATGTCTAGATAGTTGAAGTCCCTCACCACAACCAAGTCCTATGCTTTGGATGATTTTATTTAATTGTTTAAAATTAATCACTAATCTTCCACTTATGGTAACTTCTCAGGTCAGTTTATTGAACCAGCTCAATATTTCTACTAAGTAGAACACTTGAAAACTTGGAATGTGAGTTCCATTTTACCCTGGCCATTCTTTTCCACTCTGGCATTAAAGCCTGGCAAGGCCCACACCAAGGAGCATAGAAATCAACCATCCAGACTTCATCTCGCTTTCTTCGTTTAACAAGTGCACTGAAAGTGTCTGGTGTTAAGGAGACCACCGAAGGGTTCATGAGATCCTAAAATACAAAAATAATGAGACTTACATTTGACACATGATGAAATTATCCTTATGCCATGTTATCAAATACAAACTGACTATGTAATGTTATCATGCTCATCTCACTTATGAAGCTTGTTTCTCTAAGTATCAATAAATCAAAAATCCAATAAATTAACAACTTCTGAAGAATAGACTCAGAATGTAGAGATTTGTACCTTATTTCACAAAGGTGATACAATTACTTGCAAGCTTAGGTTCATATATTCTGTACCACAATCTGAGCACTCTTGATAATGAATGTATTTCTCCTCCCTATAAGGTTATTAACCCCATTTGACAAGTGGGGAACTGAGGCAGAGACATACCAAGGACTTGCATAAGGTCACAGAAAAAGTACGTAGCAAAGCAGGGAAATGAATCCAGGTTTCCAAATTTCCAGACTAATACTCAGGAGACTATCCTTCCTCACCCAAGATAATCACCCCTCACTCCATCATTTTATGAATATCAGGTAGTTCTATTAGGATAGCTGGTTAGAAAAAAAAGCTGCCTTTGAAGGCAGTGTGAATTCAGTGACTGACACTGTCATAACGTGAGTCACATACCTCTATAAATTCCAAAATCTGTTCAGCAGAGTGATGCCCTTCATATTCATGAACATTGGACTGGTTGAACACAACCGTTGTTGGGTAAGCTCTAATGTTATGCTATCAAAAAACACAACAACAAAACACATTATAAAGAATGTTCTGGTTTGCTGCCAATACAATAAGCACCACTGGGTTCATACTATTGCTAGTCAATTTGCTTTGCACAGTACAACTCAAATATTTATACCATATACTTAATTTTGCCTGTGTACGTGTGTGGGGAGGGGAGGGTAAAGACTAGATGACATCGTCCCTTCCAGCCATGCATCTCTGATTTCTTGGATTCTGATACCTGAGAATTTGGAAGACCTAGAGAAGACTATGGATTGGGATCGCCAAACCCTAATTCATAGTGAAAAGGATCAAAGAATCAGAGCTGGAAAAGACCTCAGGAGATCATCAATTCCAGCCCCCCGCCCAAGGCAGGACCAATCCCAACTAAATCAATCCAGCCAGGGCTTTAAGTTGAGACTTTAAAAACCTCTAAGGATGGTTTTTCCTAATATCCAACCTAAACCTCTCCCACTGTAACTTAAAGATGCTGGTTTGTTTAAGAGGATGTACTGTTGGAGTTCAAAAGCAACTGAGCACTACTTTCACTGTGCTTGTGGGAACAAAACTCCAGCTTTTCCTAAGTCTTCTGACCAGTCCCCCTCCCCCCCCCCCCCAAATAAACCAAAAATCTTTATTTAAAGTTTTCAGCTGTACCTCTCCCCAATCAGGTAAAACAGCTTGTACAGTACTAATGACTGTATATTCATTTTGCTATCTGTAAACCTACATTCCTCCATGATTTAAGGCCTTCAGTATCAGTGTACATTGATGGCAACTCTAAGGCTCTCAGTTGGCCCATATCCAGGTTAATTGTGCATACATTTTTAAAAATCAGTTGAATTCAATTGTCCACCAATTAAAATAAAGGTCTAATAAAGGCAAAAAATGGTAAGGAAAGGTCTTTCTTAAATACACAAATTAGTCTTGCATTTCTTGTGACCTTCAAAATTCCTGATTTGTACTGACGACAAAAGCAATGCAAATTAAAAGCAGCTGTAGGCTGTGACTGGGAACTTGAACTCTTTGTGACATTCTAAAAATGGTGCTTCCATTAGCATAACCTTTTCTGCTGTGTTTATCTCTCCATGTTCAAAGCAGTAACTCGACTAGTGTATATTTTGTAAATAGATTTGGAACGAGTAACTACATCTGTGCTCATTCATTTATCTCTCTAAAAGGACTGGAATTCGAATCTTTCCTGACCAATATGAAAGTCAGGGCAAGACTCGCATTTATAAAAACACATTTTAAGTTTAAACATTGTTTTAAGAGACCCACATAGTTTATTACCTTGAAAAAAAGACTTGATGATGGAGTACCTTGTTTGGATGTGCTCTGAAAGTTTTAACTACAAGAAAATGGCATTTCTTGAATAAGACTTTTTACTACTTGCACTTACCATGTTACAAAGCCCTTCATGGATTGTGCAGTCTAATGTGCCAAATTTAAGCTGACCAATAAGGTGCTTTGATGCTTTTCTCAACTCGGGCAACAAAGCTCGACATGGAGGACACCACTAAAAAAATGCAAATCATAGTACCACTGTTAAAGCAAAGCATATAAACACACAACTCTCCAGTAAGCAGTTCTCTGAAGAAATGTGAATACACACACACACACGTGTCTATGTATATTGAACAATTTGTGGTCCTGACAAACAAGACTCCAATAAAGGATAAAAACATGTAATGTAGGAATGGTGCAATCTTCAATTAAATCATTAGGGTGATTCATACTATAGAATATCATCTTCAAAACAAAAATAGTTACATGTTTTAGCAAAAAAAAAAAAATATATATATATATATATATACCAATCTAATACGTACAGGTGCAAAGAAGTCAACAAGCCATGGTTCCTTCTCCTTGTCAGGAAAATTCTGAGGCCCAAGTGTGATAACATGAGAATTTACACTCTCTTTAGCAAACGCAATTATGTCATATAGGATCATCTTTCCTAAAAATACCCCCAAAATATGATTAGTCAATATTCATTTACCAAAAACAGAAGCATATTTCATTAGCAGTGTATGGTTTATCTTATTATGAATGTTATGCTAGAGATCAGGCTGAAGAGCTGGTAAACGCAAACAGTCATTGATCGCACTGGTGCTAATTCACAAACCACTGAAGTCAACAGGATTAATTCAGGTAACTTCAGTGGGCTTTGAATAAGGTCTTATTAAATTAAATAAACTGTAGAGCTACCATCTTACCTCACCACTCGTTTACTCAGTGTAGGAAACAAATAAGGCAGTTCATGCTGGACATTTGGATGAGAAAATTCTTAGTGAATAAAATGTCTACAATTTCTGTCCCAAGTCTGTATCTAAATCTTTTATAGTATTTCAGAGTTCTTTCAAGGAGACACTTCAATATGTAGGTTTGGAATTATTTACTTGTGAGCTTTGGAGGATTTATGCATATATGGCAAAAGTGGCTATGCGGCGGTGACTGAAATCAACCCTGTATTCACACACTACACACTAATGTAATAGTTTTTGTGGGATGTATGTCTTTTGAGTTGTCACATTTGAAAACTAACTCGGGTTAATAACAACATATTAAAATGTATGTAGCAATATTATATGTAAAGTTATACTGGGGAATTAATATTGTTAGCACATGTTCAAAACCACACAGCTCTGCCTGGGAAACATTATTAAACAGGTCTATGCTAAACAATTGTGTTAACTTCAATTTACATATTAGTAATGAACAGCATCCTGAAGATACTAGGGGGAGAAAATGGCAGGGATAGAACAATTTGCATTCTAGCAAACTCAAATGGGAGAAGAGCAAGCAAAGTGCTTCCTCCTCCTTTATCACCTTCCTCACATCGTTATGGATCAACTTTATTTATTGATTTATTTTTTGCAGGAAAGAGGTCTCCTTCAGAAGAATCTATTTCAAAGATTCAATGTCCTAAAAAGAAAGGCGCAGGAACCCTGATTTCTCTCTTACCTAAGATAAAAGCACAAGAACTTTTTGGGACTCTAGGACAGACTCTAACTTAGAAGAGGATTGGCCACCATCTTGCTGGAAGACTGTATATGAGAGAGGCCATTTTACATAAAGACTTGAACTAAAAATTTCTAGATTAAGTTTTAAATGCATGTTTCCCCATTTGGGAAAATTCAGGGCTGGGGACAGTGTGGACTCATCATCCCAGCTGTTAACCAAGGCCCGGTGAAGACAGTGGAAATCCATGATATTGCAGGTATTGCTCTAAGGCTGCCCAATACATAGACAGAATGCATACACATGGGCTGTGTCTAGACTGGCAAGTTTTTCCGCAAAAGCACCTGCGGAAAAACTTGCCAGCTGTCTACACTGGCCACTTGATTTTGCGCAAAAGCACTGACTTCCTACTGTCTGAAATCAGTGCTTCTTGTGCAAATACTATGCTGCTCCCGTTTGGGCAAAAGCTCTTTCCCAGAAATGCTTTTGCACAAAAGGGACAGTGTAGACAGCTGAAAACTGTTTTGCGCAAAAAAGCCCCGATGGTGAAAATGGCTATCGGGGCTTTCTTGCGCAAAACAGTGCCTAGATTGGCACAGGACGCTTTTCTGCAAAAAGTGCTTTTGCAGAAAAGCCTCTGTGCCAATCTAGATGCTCTTTTCCGCAAATGCTTTTAACGGAAAAACTTTTCCTTTAAAAGTATTTGCAGAAAATCATGCCAGTCTAGACGTAGCCATGGAGTTCCAGGCAGAAAGCCACTGTGACCAGGCATTGTGAAGCACTTACAGGAAAAGAGGAGAGCTGCACCTGTGAAGAGTTGTATTTTTACTCCATAATTTGACAACTGTGGGGGAATGTGAAATCAGCATATGGACTAGTGAGTTTTATTGCTGTGCTTTCTGTTGATATTTGTAAAGTAAGAGATTGGGTCCCAAGATTCTGAAGCCAAAAGCACTGTGCAAGCAGCATATGGGGAAGGGTGTGCCTTATGTCATTTTTTCAGCTACTTCTGCCAAGGCTATAATGATGTTTTTGAAATAGAGTGCGTACTAAAAAGTGAACAAGTAGGAGGATAACCTTTGGGGTTTGAGGACTGCTTACAGAAGGAAAAAAAAACATTTCAGAATAATATATAACAAGTCAAAAGGCAATTGTAGAGCAAAATTATGTCATGTTATTAGAGTTGTGAAAACAATTGCTCTGAGAAACAAATTCAGTCTGCAAAAGACTTCATCTAAAAAAATTACACACGATCTTAAAACTTCTGTCAGTTTTCCTTACCATGATGAATTTCATAATCTTCAGTTCCCCTTCCTTTAAAGGCTGCCAGACAGGGCTGATAGACATACAGATTACTGCAGACACTTGGTGCAGAAAGGCAGTCAAACTTTCCAACCTATTAAACAAACCGTAATATAAGAAAATCTCATTTATTTATATTACTATATTTGGAAAGTTGATGTAACATGCTCTTCCAAAAGGATTCTTCTTGTCCGCTATAAATGCAATTTTTTTTTAAGTGGTAGTGTTCTTTGATCAGTTTTATGGCTGATACGATGTTTAATGAGTAATAGAATTCACATGCATGTATGTATTGTAAACACAATTAGAGAAAAGCTTCTAAAAAACCAATTAAACATTGCAACATAGCAAGGCACTACTAATTCTTATTTCAAAAGCTGGTTTAGGGAATAGAAACTAGAATAATCCAATTTCTTCCAAATAAAATATCGAGAGAATATGGCACCTGAGAGAAATACTAGACAAAATTCTGCTCTTAGCAGAGTAAATTACTAGAATTTAACTAGAAAATTGTATGTCTGTTGTCTTTGTATAATTAAACTTCCCCTGGAAACACAAGAACTACTTTTTAAATTACTTTTAAGAATGGAAGTTAGTTTATTTCCAGCTTCAAGCAGGCACAAATAGTATAATTATTAAATTCTTGGGGGGAGAGGGGCAATATATTTAAAATACTGTTCAAGACTTGCAAGACTTTTTTGTTTGAGGCAAAAATGTCTTCATCTTCTGTAAGGAAATACTACACTAGATGTGGTGCGTACATATCAAATGTAACTGTTAAAATGAGGCAAATATGGGCTATAGCCAGTTTTCAAATACAAATGCCTAACCCATATTTAGGTATCTAAATCCACTCCGACACACATTTGATATAATTAAATTCAATGGGAGCTGCAAATGCTCAGTACTGTGAAAATCGTTTTGATTTAGACATGTAACTTGGGTTTACGTGCCTAACTTTGAACACCCAAGTTTGAAAATTGTGGCCTACAGAAGGAATAACCTATCCAATGGATCAGTGATACAGCAAGGTAGATTAAGGTAGCTATTTCCTGTTTTCACATATTCAAGTTCTACTTAATGGATCAGATTTTGTTCTGAAATTAATAGAATTATCCCGGATGTACACAGCTGTGAGCAAAATCTGTTTTAGAACTTACAACTGATAGGGAATAATAAGGAAGATAACATGAAACAGCTTGTTAATGAGAAGCTAGAAACCCTGATGCTAAATAAATGTATTCTTACCTGAATATGTTCATCTTTAAGTAGAAAATTCAATTTTTTAAACTCATGCACATTCGACTTGTCATTCTCACCAAACTGAAAGAAAACCAGCCACCGGTGATGAGCCAAGTGGGCCTTAAAATGGAAAGCAAATGAGAGAGAAATGCTTAGCTTCCAGATTCTATCATTTGTGAAAGTTAAATCCATGTTTTCAGTCATAAGTCAAATTGCTAAAAATTCACCAGACCTAAATCTGTATCCAATACACATAGAATTGTATTGCATTGCTCTCCAAAACTTTACACATTTACTAGCTTTTTAACTGAGCAACACTTTAAGAGAAAATAAAATTACTTTATACACCTTTTTAATCTTGTTTCCAATTTGCTTCCCTCATAAAAGTTCAGAAGTGCTAAACTTTGCATACTCTCTTTTAAAGCAGTGATACGCAGATTTCAGTTGTTCAGGAGCCAATGTAGCATTCAACATTAACCAAAATAGCCACAGTAAAGTGAAGTCATTTTTTTTCATTTACCATAGTACAATTCATATTTAACAGTATGATGGGAAATATTTAGTTTATTTATATAATTGTCACAGCAAGTAACTTAATAACAAGTTGATATCCTAAAAACACAGTAAAAGCATCCTAACAGTTAAATCAGAGCTTTAACATCATGGGCTGCAAAATGCTGCTGGCAACACATTAAAGAACCACTTTCAGGAAACAATATTATTAGCCTAATCAAAAGAGACATATGCTGGGGGCTTGTCTTTAAACAACTGGTTAAATTGTCACTGCTGCAATCAATGCAGCATGCAAGAAGTTAGCAACCCTAGGCTGTGTCCAGACTCAGGGGTTTTTTCGAAAAAAGTAGCCTTTTTTCGAAAAAACTTCCCCTGCGTCTAGACTGCAGCCGCGTTCTTTCGAAATTAAATCGAAAGAATGCGGCTTTTCTTTCGACGGTGGTAAACCTAATTCCACGAGGAAGAACGCCTTCTTTCGAAAGTGCTCTTTCGAAAGAAGGCATTCTTGACAGCAAACAGGCTTTTTAGAAAGAGAGCATCCAGACTCACTGGGTGCTTTCTTTCGAAAAAGCGGCTTGCTTTTTTGAAATTCCGCGTGCAGTCTAGACGCGCTCTTTCGAAAGAGCCTCTTTCGAAAGAGGCTTGCAGTCTAGACATAGCCCTAGTGAAGACATGGTAAGATGATAGGAAAGTGCTTTCCTGCCGTGTTCAGTAGTCCACTTCCTAGAGAGGCAGAAGCATCAATGTGTGGGCATCTCCTATCAATAAAGTGTAGTATAGAGATCACTGTAAAATGATTTAAGCTATATTGACTTAAATTAGGTAGCTTGTGTAATCTGACTAACCTAACTTAGATAGATTTACCTTGTTAGTGTGGACCAGGCCGTACTTTAGCTACACTCTAAAACATAAAACCCATTCAATAGTTTTAATTATTTGGATATCAATGACACTAGATTTAGTTACTGAAACAGTCCACTAGGAATGTAGTCAATTAAAAAAAAGTAGTCCTAGTATTATGCCATCCTGAGTTATTTTGTGGTTTAGTCAAATTTTCCTGTTTAATATACGCTTCTTTTCCCCAGTTGCTGAATGAAAGGCTCAATTGCAAATAAGGAAACAATAAAACTCAATACAAATAAAGAGCTGCCTAACAAGTAAGCAAAAGATATTTGGTTACAGTAATTTTAAGAATGGTTTGTGAGGTGAAAACTTAAAAAAAAAAAAAAAACAAGAGATTATTTTGCTGAAGATGGTCTTTTAAACTTAAAATCAGAATTATTTAACTGTATTTATTTTAAACTTTACCTCTAATGAGACCGCAGAGAGCATTTCAAAATCTGGAAGATGCTGCATTACTTCCAAATATATCTCCTTGGCATCCAAGGATTCAAGAAACTAGAAGAGACAAAGTCACTCTAATTATATAAAATGTATAAACATTAACCTGATTAGCATTCTTCAACAGAATTTACCTGACTAGTCTCCATTCATCAACTGAAAACTGTTAAATGACATGTTATTTTATTCAGACTTTCCTTTAATTGATGTTACAAGAAAACTACACTCAAAGCAGTTTGCTCTTTTAGACCCACATTTTAAAATGTAGGGAGGCATTACTGTGCTCAGTGTTACAATGCCAGAGTCTCCTTGCCAAAAGTGATTTAGGCACATAGAAGCCTAAATCCCACTGACTGTCACACACTGCTTTTCTTCCCATCTCCTGCACTTAAACCACAAAATACCAAGCTGTATCTGAATGAGTCAGAATGAGCTAAAACAAAGTCATGGCCTCAACTCACAAAATACTTTCTTTGGCAACATATCTCTATTTTATTTGTACAATTCAGATCAGCAGATTTCTGTAATTTTGCAAAGATCAGGAAAAGCATAAGTAGTAGTAACTCAATCCTGGTGGATTTCAGGTAGCTCCAGTTATTACTGTTTTCTCTTCAGGTTCACTTTTGAAGACGGGCTTAGGTGGTCGTAGCATCAGAGAGAGAGAGAGTCATGTTTCAGATGGGTGATTTTCTTGCATAAAGTAAGACTATTAACCTCAAGACAACTGAAATAAGAGTTCAAAATGATATGGGAATAGGAGGATAGCACAACACAATATATATCCAAAGCGACAGGTGACACAAATACATCATATTTCTTTGAGAGTTTGAGATCAGAGGAGGGCAAACTATGGGCCGTGGGTCACATCAGGCCTGCCAGACCCTTCATTCTGGCCCTCCAAGCTCCTGTGGGAGCAGGAGCAGGACATCCTTGCCAGGTAAACCAGCCCAACTCCGAAGAAGCACAGTAAGCACGGGTGGCTAGCCTTTGGCCCCTCCCATTCTGGCCCCCTCCTCTGCAGCCTCAGGTCCCCTAGTGCTTGGGTGGCGCAGTCACCAGGCCATCGGCCCTGATGCTCTAGACAGGGAGCTGGGGAGGAGGAGGAGGAGGATTTAGATAGGGGACTGTCAAGGGGTGGGGGTTTGGATGGAGTCTGGGGAGGCGATCCTGGGGTGGGGACCAGGCGAGTTGCATGGGGGTAGGGATCCTGGAGAGGTGGTTGAACAGAAGGCATATGTCCCGGGGTGCCCTGGAGGGTCTGGGGAGAGATTGTGAGGTTGTTAAGTTGGTGGTGGCATAGCCTCTCCTACCCAATCCCATATACAATTTCTATACCCTATGTGGCCCTCAGGTGAAAAAGTTTGCCTGCCTTGGTATAGGTCATTATATATCAAATTTATCAGTAGCATATAAGTTAAATATAAACAAGAATAATAATTTCTCAGTGTAACAAACTCAATTTTGTTTGACTGATGAATGTCTATAATCTACTCTGATCACCACCACCACCACATTAAACAAACTTTTTAAAAGCAACTCATACCAAAACACTTCCTTTCTCTCTATGAGTTAAGGTGGCTCCAGGTGGAAAGTATGCTGTTGTACTAGATGAGATATCCAAATTATCACAAAGCTCACCCTGGGTGGCACAATCCATCCAGCCTACATTAACAAGGCCTTCCTGAAATAAAAGAGCAATAATTTGAGTGTTATTTTTAAACTCACAGTTAGAAGAATTTCTGCAAATACAATAGAAACAATTAGCTACTGTTTTTAGAGGATGGGGGGAAGGGGAGACTTACAGTGCTGCACAACAGTACTTTGATAGTAATGTAACTATTTTAGGAAATCCTTTAAACATAATTCCAGTAATGAGATGGCTCTCCAACATAACACTGATTTGAAAACAAGCTGTTTGAAAGTTATTGGGTGAAATCTTGGCCCCACCGAGCTCAGAGGGTGTTTGCCATTGACTTTGATAGCATCAGAATTTTACCTTTAGGAATTCTGATTTAAATATAATTGGTAACATTTTCAAATGAAATGCTGCTTACCAACATGCCAGCTAGTTTAAGGCGCGTCTGGGAAGTCAAGCAATCTGGAAAATAAAAATTAACGATTTACCTATAAACATGAGGCTTTCAATGATCAAATCATTTAACTTACTCTAGTTTAGAACTAACATTTTTGTAGCTTTGTGGTGAGAACTGCGAATTAAAATATTCTTTATTGGGTTCATCAACAGAGAATCCTCTCTCATTTTGAAATGTGTACCAGAGACGTTAAGTAGCAATTAAATTGCTACTTTGAAACGTACAAGAGTCCCCGCGGAGACTTTTCTGTATTTCCAAGTTGGAACGCCATGTGGAGCCCAGGGCCAGCAGGAAGTCCTGCTGACTCTGGGCTCAACCCAGGTGCTTCTGCTTTGAAATTCACAAGAGCCTGGGGACTCATACATTTCAAAGCTGGCACGCAGCATGGAGCCCGGGGTCAGCTAGGGAGTCTCCAGCTGACCATGGGATCTTCCTGACATTTCAAAGAGGCAGCGCCGTGCGGAACCTGAGGTGAACAGGAGTCCCCCCATCCCCCCCAGTGGCACTGCCACTTTGAAATGCCACGTGGTGCCTGATGCCAGGCTCCCCTTGCCATCCAGGGGCAGTGCCACACAGAGCAGCTGACCCTGGGCTCCATGTGGCACTACCGCTTTTAAGTACTCCCCCATTTCTCTGCCCCCCTTGCTGCCTCTATTTAATAGAGGCGGAGGGGGAGAGACTAGTTGACTAGTCTTCTACATCCCTAATGTGTACAGTAGTTTTATATGGCTTATGATTGCTGCCCTTATAAACTGACTCTAGCGTGTGAGAGTTTTAAAAATATCTACCAATGTATCAAATTTTGTCATCATAGAAAGATTATTAGAATTATTAGAAACCCTACAGACATTCCAAAGCACTAATTTCAGAAGATAACTGACTTTTTTTATGAAGGAGATACAGTATATTAGTCTATCTGGATTTTAGTAAAGCATGTAATACAGTTCTACTTGGGAAATTATTAGTTAAATTGGAGAAGAAAGGGATTAGGAATAGGTTAAAGAGGAGACCATACTGAAAGGTGAACTGTCAGCCTAGAGGGAAGTTACTAGTGAAGTTTTTCAGGACTCAGTCCAGAAACTGATCTTATTTAGCATTTTCATTACTGACTATGGCCCAATATGTGGGCATGTGCCTGTAAAATCTGTGGATGACACAAAGTAGAAAGGTCGGGCCAAAATGGAGGAGTGGAGGAGGCCTGAAATATCAAAACAAACAAACACGCTAGGATGATTTTGAAAACTAGAGTAATAGAAATGGGATTAAATGTAACAGGGCAAAGTGCAAGGACATGCATGTAGGGACTAACTACTGAAGTCTTAACAATAGGAAGTAACAGGATCAGCCAGACCTGGATGTATTGGTTGATAACAGAATGACTGAGCCACCAATGTGACGCCAATATGAAAAAGACTAATGCAATCCTAGGATGCATTAGGCAAGTTATTTCTAGTAGAGACAGGGAAGTGTTATTGCCTTTATACAAAGTACTGGTGAGACCTCATCTACAATACTGGCCGCCATTCTAGCCTCTCAT